GAGGAGTCCCTGATCAGAAGTTACTCCATTTCCGCCAGTTTCCGCAGGGACTTGTGCGGCTGTGGGGACCAAAACCCTGCGGCCTTTTTAACGTCTTGGAAAGATGATTTCCAGCGTTGTCCGTGTTACTCCTGAGAGGCTTCCCGCGGGAGACCAACATAAAAAGCTAATGCTTGTGGCGAGAGGAGTAGCGTAATCTGTGTGCGGAGCAGTGCTTGTCCGTTCTTGCTTGCTGTGGCTGGGGGTTGTTCCTTTGCAATACATCTTTATTCTGTATCTCATAAGTAGATGTGTACAATTGAGCTGAACTGCATTAAGTGGACTTGAAAAGTGAACTGTAAAGTTTTATTCTTAATCTTGGAGTTCTTTGTTCAGCTTCAAGTTACATGAAGTTACATGAAAACTTTTTAGAAGTGTTTTATAATCCTTTACTAGTCTGTTTTTCCCCTTTCTTGAAGTTAAGAATAGAAACAGTGGTGGACACGGTCTCCTGAATTGTGTGGCCATGTGCTTGGCATTGCCATCTGTCTTTTCAAATTCTCATGTAGCTAGAAAGCATTAGCACTGCTGTAAAGAACAAGAGTAAAACTTGGTGATAACAACAAACCTTCTGAAGGAGTAAAACATTTGACTTGGCATCTTAGCCTCCCACTTCTGTGAGAAATTTTTGGTATGAAATACCTAGGCATAAACAAGAGGAGCTGAACTAACCATGTTAGTGGCGAGTATGTGGATTCGTCATCAGGAAAATGAGGCAGTTTAAGCATTCCTTCTTGTCACTACATGATTATGAAGCAGTAATTATGTACTTTTTTTGAATCTATAATGAAAGAATCCTGTTTCGGTTTTCAGGTTTGTTTTATTTTTTTTCCTCCTGACTATCAGTATGTCGAGGGATGCTTTTTAAATTATTTTTTTAGTGTTACATTCGTGTCAGGCTAGTTCTGTCTTCTGTTCTGATTATTGCCTTTGCTTCCTTTATTGGCAGGTGACCTCTGGAGCAAGTCTTACAGGATTATTCCAAATATCTCATGCTGAGTTTAGAAAGTCATGTTCTAGAGTGTAGAGACTTTTCTTTGTCAGTGCTATAGGAGCTTCACTCTACTTATTTTATCAGTCTCTTACATGCTGTCTCATTGTGTGCATACAGATATCTTCGTGAGCACTGCAGGCTTTTTCTCTCCCGTGTCCTTCTGTTGTTGAAATCTGATTTAAAATTTCACACAGCCTCATGAATTTAGGTGATGCAAGCTGTGCAGTACCACCTTTTCACCACTTGAAGCCTCTACAGTGTGCTATGGATAGCTGGTACGACAGTTGTAGTGGATAATAAAGTCTGGGTAGCAAGCTATTTCTACTTTAATGCAAAAAATTAGCATCTTAGCAAACAGTTGTGGTAATCCTAAAATACTAGTTAATTTATTGTTTAATTTCTAATAAAACCTAAGTAGGAATTGCACAAGCCCTATCCTGATTGGCAATTTTTGTACCAGTGTTCCTCTCTATCCTCACAGGTTTTTACCATGTTTGTAGGAGAAGGCTGTGATGTACTGTGAAATAAAATCTTCGTTTCTTTCTACTCAAATTCCAGAATGCCAGGACTAAGCTGTAGATTCTACCAGCATAAATTTCCGGAGGTGGAAGATGTAGTGATGGTCAACGTTCGGTCCATTGCTGAAATGGGCGCCTATGTCAGCCTTCTGGAGTACAACAACATTGAAGGCATGATCCTTCTCAGTGAGCTGTCCAGGAGGCGTATTCGTTCCATTAACAAACTCATCCGCATTGGAAGGAATGAATGTGTTGTGGTCATAAGAGTCGACAAAGAGAAAGGTATTTGAGGGTATTGTGGGCTCTATCAAGATTGAATTCATAAATACAGATAAACTAGGTGGCTTAGATATTCATTTGTATTGCCAGGGGTGCCTTTGGTGCTTACAATCGTACTTCCATTCCTCCGTGTCCTCTGGGGATGGGGTTAATGGAGGTCAGTAACATCAGTAAAGATTTACTTATGTGGGTCCTCACCAGCTCAATGTTTGGTCAACAAACCATAGTGAAGTGGAATTTTCTTTTGGTATCTGTGTAGGTCTTCTAAGTCTTAACTGAAGAGAAGGATCATCTAATGTAGAGATAAAAATTTAAATGGTGAGCATTTAATGCTTACAGCCCATCCTGTTCACTAATAAGTCTTGAACCTTGGCTGTAAAATAGCTGACAGGTTGAGATTGTACAGGCAACTTTGTCTTTTCTTGTCTTCTGAACATTTGAATCTTTTACTCAAAAGGTTTTTTTAATATATTTTCTATTTAGAATGTGACAGGTTTTGATATACTGTTGCATGCAAGCTTTAAAAATCTATATCCAGGTATAAAGAAATAATATATGCTAAGCACACCTCCGAGAAACCTGACTCTTGGTATGGTGTTTCTCAAGCAATATGCTTTACTAGAATGCATCTGGAACTGCAGTTAACTCCGAGTTTAAGTAATGAGTGACAGGTTAAGAAAAAGAGAGTAAAGACGGACAGGAAGAAACTTATTTCAGGTAGGTGTGAAGTGACATAAGTTTCCCAGTATCTCTGATGAAAAATTACTTCCTCTTAAAAATTCATTTTGTTTACATTAACAGAGAAACGCACCTGGAATTCACATAGTGGTCTTCTATTGAGTCTTTTGGGAAACCTGTAGTTTGTGAGAAGTAGGTAGAGGCCTTTTCAAATTTCTTAAGAAGTGATTCAAAAGAGGTTTTTTCCACAAAGAGTTTTCACAAAAGAGTATCTGAGGAGTTAGTCAGAATTTGAGGCCAGGTGTGCTTTATTAGGAAACCATTCAGAGCTCAACTGATGGAGTGCCAACCTTGAGTGAAACTGAGTTGAGCACTACAAAAATCAGGTTCATGACCACCTGAGGAACCTGAATACACAGAAATCTATGGGACTTAATGTCCTATCAGAACATCAATGGGAAGGGCCTGTAAGAAAGATGGGGGTAATCTCTTCAGCAAGGCTGATTGTGACAGGACAAGGAGCAATGGTTTTAAACTGAGGGAGGATAGATATAGACTGGATATAAGGAGTGTTTTTACAGTGAAGGTGGTGAAACACTGGAACAGATTGTCCAGAGAAGTGGTAGAGGTCCCATCTCTGGAGACATTCAGTGTCAAGTTGGACAGGGCTTTGAGCAACCTGATCTAGTTGAGGATGTCCCTGCTCACTGTAGGGGGGTTGGCCTAGGTAACCTCTAAAGGTCCCTTCCAACCCAAAGCATTCTGTGATTCTGTGAAAAATATGCATCAAACTTGCTTCTTTGTATAGTGGCATGATTTTTTCTAAAACTGTACAGTGACTGAAAATGCATCGCCAGTTGCTGAAATAAGAACATTTCTTCCAGGTTTGCAGAGAAAACATTGTTAGGGCAGTGATTTTTAAAGAATATTGTACAAAAGATTTGCTATTGTAAGTATGCACTGTTGAAAGAATAGTTTAATACCTTAGTTTAGATCATGATTAAAACCAATTAATTAAGGCTTGATTTTGCTACTTTCTGTAGCAACAGATAGAGATAATGTAGGCAAGGGACAAATCCTAAGCCAGTGTGTTTGTCCTTTATGCTTTTCTTTTGAAGCAGTTAGACATAGTTTGCACAATGTGTGACACTTTCAAAACTATTTTCCCCAATAGGTTATATTGACTTGTCAAAAAGAAGAGTTTCTCCAGAGGAAGCAATCAAATGTGAAGACAAATTCACAAAATCGAAGACCGTAAGTTGCTTTGCTAGATTCAGGCACTGTGTGTTGCCAGTTTCTTTCCTGAGTAAACAAATTGCAGAGACATAAGATAAGAAAACGTAGTATTCTTCTTGTTTTTAAAGGATATTCTGTTTTTTATTTACCCATGCAAATATATATAATCATCTCGTCTGTCTGTGGTTGCTTCTTAATTAGTAGATCAAGTAATATGTCAGTTGAAAATCTGTGAGGTAAAGGAGGAAGTTTAAATGATTAGAAATCCAAAAGCATGTGCTGGTTTAGCACTCTGTAGACAGTTTTTTGTTTTTTTTTTTTTTAAAGGTGTGTATCAGTTCCCACCCTTACTGCTCTGTGGTCTGATGTTCCTGAGTAGGATGCTTACCATTAAATACCACTTTGATTCTAGCTTTTTTTCTTTGTATGCAAATACACTGTTGAACAACTTGACAATACTTTTTCCATCAGTTTCCATGGGAGAATAATTTTATCTTCATAATTGCACATTAAAGGTTTAGGTTAATAAAGGAGGTTTGATATTTTGTAAGTTCCTAGGACTCAGTATGTAATTTATTGTTAAATATAGGGGAAGATTGTATTGCAGCATCATACAGTGTTTCGAATCAAGACACTTTTATCATTGATATTTTTTATTGTTTATTTGCATCAGCAGTTTTGGTTAGGACTTTGTGGGACTCAGTTTTGTGCTGTACAAACTCATGTGTGAAACTGGGTAAGTGGAAGGGTTTGTTTTGCTTTGGGGTTCTGTTTTGCTTTTTTTTAATATGCCTTTTTTGTTCAAGGTTTACAGCATCCTTCGTCATGTTGCTGAAGTCTTGGAGTACACTAAAGATGAGCAGCTTGAGAGTCTGTTCCAGAGAACTGCATGGGTGTTTGATGACAAGTACAAAAGACCAGGATATGGCGCTTACGATGCGTTCAAGCATGCAGTCTCGTAAGGACATCTTTTCTACTTCTAGAATTTTTGTTTTGTTTTGTTTAGTGATTGCAGAGAAGTATTTCCTGGAGTAGATCCATCCTAATGTTCTTTCTGGGGTTTTGGGTTTGTTTGGTTGTTGGTTGTTTTTGTGGGGTTTTTCTGTTGGGTTTTGGGGGGTTTTTTGTTGGTTTGTTTGGGTGTTTTGTTTTTGTCTTTGTTTTTTTTCAGAGCCAGTATGTAGAATGTACTGGTCATGTAAACCTAGTAAATTTAGACATCAGTCTTCCAGTTGCTTATTGTAGTTTTCTCTGTCTTAATGCTTTCTTGAAGTTCACACTGCTTTTGAGAAGGCTTAGGGTTGGCTTGTTTTTATTCATCTTTCAGTGTTCCACTGCATTGGGTGTTTAAAAGTAGTAAATTAATTTAATGTAGAGGAATACAAAGACACTTGGTGAATCATATGTTATAAGAAACATGTTATTACAAACACTGGAAAGATTTCTGTTGCTATAGATGTGCTTGTGATATTTCTAACAGAAGTAGCAGCACTGATCTTTCTTTTTAAGAATTTACTTGTGCTTAGTCCCAAGCAGATGTTACCAAACATTTCTAGTTCTGTGTCTGAAGATACTTCTGCTTGCAGCTGGCTGTCACTCTTTTTTAAATGTAACAAGCTGTCTTGTTACTTCTCTATACTTCCAAACTTAAAGAATGGGAATGGGGCCATGAACTTGGGAATGGAATTATGAACAGAAAAATTGTGATGCTAAGGGAGTGTGCACTGAGATAGATTGCTCTTAATTTTTTAATTATCTCTGATATTTTAGTTTACTTTCACAATTAAGCTGTTTGGCTAAAGACTCTATCATGAAATTTAGAATCCAAAAATAGATTTCTCAATAAACATTTCCAATTCTATTCTATAGCACATAAACCTATGAGTGATGAACTTGAGTTGAACACCAGATGGCAGTAATAAAATTATAGAAATTGTGTTGAATTAAAGAAGCAGAGCACTTATTAGCATTTTGATTAACTTAAAGCCATCTCTGTCTTTTTGGGGAAGAGACAGCTTGTGTCCCCATTTGGACTGAATGTGCTCTGTTTCATAGAGTAATAATTATTTTCTAATGATTGCAAATTTACTGGTAAAAGGCAAATCTGGGTGCATTGCTGCAGAAGAAATTCCAGATCATTCTGTAACTGATAAATACTTAGTTAAGCACCTCTATACTAGAAGAACAAGAAAGTCTCGTTACATTGGCTGTTTAAGCTGCTTTTAAACTCAGAAAAATCCCTGAGCACACGTGCCATTTGTTGCTCATGTTCTGTTCAGGTTGGAGCACAAATTTTTGAAGCTGTTCTCAAAACATGTTTTCATCAGTAATTCTTTAAGATTTCTGACAATGGACCGCAACTTTTATTTGTTGCCATTGTGCTCCTACATAAAACTATAGCAGTTGAGCAGAAAAATGTGCAGATTGCTACCTTCCTGTGCTTGCTGAAGTGCTTTCTGGAATCTTAGCATGCCCTCTAAGAATTTGACTTGCTATTTTTCTCTTGGTACTGAAGATTAGTGCTTTGGGGTTTCACACAGCAGGATACGGGTGGCAAAATTTTGAAGTATGTTTACCCTCTGAGTAGTGAAAATTAAACATCTAGGACCTATTCATTGAATGCCTACCAAATGCTCATGAAAAGTAACTTGAAAGTTTAACAGAATAGATTATAAATAAAGAAACAGAATTTGCACGTCAAATAAATCACTTCTGCCATATGGGTTCATACTTTTGATGCATACAAACTTGTCATATTTCTGGGTTCTGTTTGCTTATGTTTGGTCCTTCTGCTGTCTACGCTCAGTATACAAAATAATAAAAGATGACATTTTACTAGCAATAGAAACCAATCTGCAATGTTGTCTCTGTTCTTTGAGCCATTTTAGTTCATGTGTTGCCTGCTAGCAATATTTTAGGTAATCCAGCATTGCTTTTCAGAGAACTGCAACTCCTATCTCTGAAAAACAGGAACAATTTTTGTGAGGACCTTTTTGGTTATGGTCTTTGCTTCAGTTATATTTTGGATAAAATTAATACAGCAATAAAGAGAATTGACACCACTTCTTCAAACAAGAGGTGCAAATTTAGATGGATAAACAGCAGAGGAGTTTGCTTCTGATTGCTGAATTTTTAACTGTTACTAGCTTGTGATCTAAAAAACCTTTATTCTTCCTTTAGTCAAGAATGTAGCTAGCAGATAAGTATCTAGTCTAGGATCCAGTCACTGTTAAAAAACAGTACAGAATAACATGGAATGAGTATAGTTTACTTTGTAGAAAGAAAGAAAGTCTTGTGTTTGAATGAAACACTAAAACAATTCAAAAACCTCAGATGCATCATGGATTCTCTTTCACGTGGTTTATCTTCACATTGGAGGGAACATAAATACCAGGCAGTTAATTTTTCTCACTCTGTGTATTGTGTACAAATGGAGCTGGACAGAATTAATTCCTTTTCTTAAAAAATTAAAAAATAATCATTCAGATCTTTCCTTCCTGGAACAGATTTAGTAAAGTACTTTTCTGCTTTTTAAAATGCTTCCAGTAGAAAATATTTTGGAAATAGATGTTTATTTTCTTCTGGTGTTTCAGTAGACTCTTTAAGAAATTTCCCTATTTTCACTGCCTAGTAGATTTTTATGATTATACGTAATAATTTTGAAATAGTACCACAAGTTAATGTTGTGTCACATTCCATCAATATAACTTTTGTGACCTTGCTTTGCTTGGCTCAGAGACCCTGCAATCCTGGACAGCCTAGATCTGACAGAGGAAGAGAGGCGTGTGTTGATTGACAACATTAACAGACGTTTGACACCACAAGCGGTCAAAATCCGAGCTGGTGAGTTCTTTCCAGATGTTCAGTCACGTCTTGACACTTAAGTCAAGTTCGTGCACCTTGCTGCAAACTATGAACTCAGTTAAAACCAGTGTTGGTGGTGCTGCTGTTTGAGTAGAGCTGTTCTTCCAGAATTAAGATAACTTAATTGAGGCTTGCTTGCAAAATGCATGTGCAGTTTCTATCTCAAAGTCCAAGGTGGTCTGGCTTTTTTTTTTTGCCCCTGAACTGCAGAGTCCTTGAGACGCAAAGTGCTTGCCCTGATATGTAATGCAGTCCATCGTATTGCACTGACACACAATGAATTTAAATATTTTATAGTTATTACTGCATCCACAGTATTCTTTTCCATTGTTCAATGTTAAATTCTGTGGTTCCCTAACAAGATGATCGATCTCTATCAGCACAGCTAGGGCATGTGTCTTAGCCACTTGTCCACGAACATGTGAAAATAGCTCTGACTTTGCTCTGGGTGTATTTCTAATTGGTTGATTGCAAACCATTCAGCAG